CAGCACAAATTTGGTTTTTCAGGTGCGACCACAAATGCTCTATTGGATTAATATCAGGTGCATTTGGAGGCCAAGATATGATTTGAAAGTCACTGGAATATTCCTCGAACCACTCCCTGACGTTTGCATTATCCTGTTGGTAAATACCATCCCCTGCCAGAAATACTGTTGCCATGAATGGGTGAATCTGGTCTGCAATGATGTTCACATGCGTGCAGATGTCAAGGATTGTTCTATAGGGATTATGGGTCCTAATGTGCTTCATGAAAACATTGCCCGCATCATAAAGAGGATCCAATTGGGATTCAGATTCAAGAAAATTTAGGATTTATCCCACTTCTAATAAAAATGCATTAAAGTATTTTATATATAAAATTCTTTTATAACTATTAGCAAAATTGTTTTCAAAGTAATTTTTGTTCTCTGAAATTAAAACAAAAATAATGAGTAAATTCTACTGCTTACAAATACACTGACAGTAATGTTTTTCACTAAAATGAATCCCTATGCTGTAAAGAAAACTTAATGGCAGTATAGTATTATTTTTGGTGCAGACCTTACTAACAGAATATTCTGTACACGAGCATGTGCTGTTTTATTACTAGCAGTATTTGGAAGTTTAGTTTCACTAAAAAAAAGGTTTTCCACTGTGTAGGCCCCTCTTTTCAAAGTGTTAAGTAAAGTAAATTCTTTAATTCATATTTGCCACATAAATTCAAAATTAAATATACTGTCAAAACTAGAGACTCACTTAAATTTATAAATTTACTGATATTCATAATTCACGTTTATTTTAAAATATAGAGAACTTGACAACAATTAAAAAATTATTAAATAAAATTAATTAATTTGCAGCCATGCTAAATTTTCTGAGAACTCAAATTTAGTGTACTTATATTTAAAAATGAGTGTAGATTACAAGCATTTGTGGATTGCTCTACTTAATTCTGCTGTATTTTTTATCAGTATGTGTATTTCTGACTTAAAAAAAAAATAGTTTTCTATATTCATTATGTTAAATGCATTGTGCAATAAAATCAAAGGTGTTTTCCATATATTTAAAGTTTTTTCTCTATCTTTTCTCTAGGATAAAGTACTTCAGATTCGTTTAGAGCATATTGTCCATGCTGTAGAGAAAAATGAATGGCCAATTATAAGGCACACTTTCTTGCCCACATTCCCTAATGTGCCTTCATCAACAACTCCTATTCCACACCCTCCAGTAATTGCAAGCCCTGTTTCTCATCGTGCTTCTCCTGTTCCCAGTGTTTCAAGTCAAGGTCACAGTGGAGAAGTTACACCTCAGGCAACCCCTGAACACACTCCCCAAAGAGAACCTATGTTGCCTGAAATATCTACTCCAAATCCCACAGATTTTAATATTCTTCGCAAAAGTCCTCTTCAACATATTCCTACTCCTGTAAGTGCAAATATTTTTAAGACATCTCCCTCTCATTGTGTTTCACATTGATTTACACTAATTCTTTTTTCAAGTTTTAAAAAATATATAATTTCTTTTTTAGCCGATCACAGAATCCTCTAAACATCGCAGAAGGAGAAGACGCAGAAGATTTGAAATAGAAGCTGAGCGAGGTATGTGTATTCTAACTACACATTTTTTTTAGTTCAAAAAATGAGATGATTATGTTCAATCGCTATATTTTGTATAATTATTTGATTTGCCTGTAATGTTTTCTTTATTATGATGGAAGATCATATTTTGAAATAAAAAAAGCTATCCATATAGAATAGCAGTATACAGAATAATAATGATATTTTTTATCAGAATTTAAACAGGTCATTATTTTTTCAATAAAACAATTGTGGTATTTTATGTTAAAAAATATGATGAAATTGTAAAATTGAGTTTTCTTGCATTGCTTTGATTTTTGTGCTTCTCTCATCTCCGTGTGTTCTGATGAGGGAATAAATATTATACCTGAAATTTAAATTGCTATTGCATTATCATAAAAAAATTAAAGATGTATCTTCTGATTTTAAAATAAAGCTGTGTTTTTTCATTGATTGAATCCTATGATTGATTTCCTGTGAACTCATAAGTACATTGAAAAACCATAAATGGTATTGGAATGATACACATGACAAAAATTGCTGCCGTAAAACATACAGGGGTTGGACAAAAATATGGAAACACCTTTAAAAAAACATATTTCTTTGCTTCTAATGGTTAGGAAACCCGTTGCATCCAAACCGCTTGCAGTCTTCTGCGTATGGATAAATACAGTTCTGTATGTTGCCAAGGGAATTTATTATACCGTTCTTCCTGCAAAACGGTGGCAGTCAGATAACGATGTGGCGGTGGCTCACGAGAACGCACTTCCGTTCCAATGTAACCACAAAAGTTGATAATATCAGGGGTGGTGACTGTGGTGGCCAGGGAGATGGGACAACTCATCATCGTGCTCGAAAACCAGTCCTGGACAATGTTGAACAGGGCTTTGTCGTCTTGGAAGACACCATCACCATCGGGACAAAGTTTACCATGGGATGAACTCGATCGGGCAAATGTTTCGCTAAGTCTTGGTAGTATGTGCCTGACCAAGTTTCAGGGGGCTAGAGGAGAAGACGATATGGCGCCAAACCATAACAAAAACCCCGCCATGTTCTCTTGGCAACAAGCAGTCTGATTATAGGCTTGAGATGGCGTTCTCCCGACGTAACCGGCCAGAGTGTCAGCAGTGAGAGAGAGGGAAAACATGTGACACTCGCACCATCGCTCTATGTCCAGCTTATGGACTTAACACCACCTTTTCCTGATTACGGCATTTAGCACTGATGAGTGGCTTTCTCAATTGCAGCACAGCCAGCAATCCCTGTTTAGAGCCCCTTAAGTTTTGGTACTCACAGGTCGGTACACAAATTCATCAGCCGTAACTTTTGCCGATGTGGTCTCGATTTTTGTCACAATTGCCATTATGAGGTCAATTCACCCAGGAAACAATTTCGTCGCGCTGTGATTTTAGCCGATGCTGTTTTACGCTTTCAAATATGCGGAATAAATCTTAGATACTAACCTGTGAAACAATAACACTCGGCTACCTTGCTTACGGAAGACGCTACCGTACGTGCTCAACAATGCGACGTTCGAAGTCTGTTACTCTGACATAATTCAATGAAAACCTAATACATTCCCGACACAAATGAACTGTTCACATTTACGACTTTATAGGTGGCGTCATAGTCAAAACGCCGCGCCACCTACATATTTCATTAAAATCAATCTTTCTTTTCAAACATGTATTTCACATGGTGTTTCCATATTTTTGTCCATCCACTGTATGTGAAGAAGAGCACTGTGAAGGACCTGTAGCAACACAGGAGAAGGAAAAATTTTTTATTCAAATTACAGTTTCAGTGAGTTTACCTTCACAGATGATAATGCAATGTATGCAGGAGATTGTTGACAGCAATGATATACGTAACATTGCAGGAGAAATCTGTAAACTCCATGTTTAGTGACAACTTTCAATTCTGACAACCTCATGGATTTGATGTGTACACTTTAGATTTCAAATAACCCTGGACATAAAGTTGGGGATCGTGGATCTCCAAAGCACTGTTACAGTATATGCCAAACACATGTGGCGACTTGTTGGAGAGCACCATCTTGCATCTATGCAATGTCATAAACAGCATTTCACTTCTGCAATTCTGGAATTATGTAATTCTGCAACAATGTTATATACTGAGCACTTGCAATTGAGTGCATTTTCATACTGTGAAAGTGACCTCTTTGAAGAAGTATGGACCAAGAATGAATGCGCTTGTGATGCTGCTCCACGCAGTCACTTCAGCTTCGTGTAAAGGTGCTAGTGTCATATTGTGACGATCTTCATTAGCCCAATAAGCGCAGTTCTTGGAGTTTACATTCCTAGTTTGTCCGTCCATAATATCCTTGCCACCAGCTCTCATCATATCTGAGGAGGAAAAAAAGATTCACAAAGTCGACATGGTGTTGCTCATCTTTAGGTTCCATCATCTGAATGTGCTGAAATCAGTGAGGAAACATCCACAGAGCAGAATATAGAAGCTGAGGACTTTAGTTTTTGGTACATACAAAACTGCAGGCAATATTTCTTGTACTATGCACTTCCTCTACAACTTCAGCAGGAATGTATGGAACATGGGCCCCCATCTTGTGATTTCACCAATTTCTGTTGCTATCTAGGCAGCATTTTCCCTATTCAGATGAAAGTGGTTTATCAATTCACTTCATTATTTCCCTGTAATTGTCTTCTTGTTAGCATGTTTGAATGCCTGAAACAGTATTCCCACACTGCATATTAAAGGTTTTCAACAAGAAATGTTTTATGTCAGCAATTTTTGTCATATATGTGTTCATTTCAACCCATTTATGGTTTTTCAATGTGCTGATCAATTTGTGTAAGAAAAAAGTGGGTGTTTTCAGTCAAAAATTTTGGAAATGTTTTTCACTGTAACTATAAGAGCTCTTGTTTTAAATCATCATAATTTCAAACCCGTACCTTCAAATAAGAATATCTGAAATTTTGTTTGGATAGGTTGAGCAGATAAGCAGTTAGAGATTCATATATTGGGGGAATTTCTTTACGACCATCCCTGCCTATACAACTCCTGAATTCAAACAGCGATCCCTGGGATGGAGGTGCATTTTATCAGTTAAAAAAAAAGAAAGAAAAAGAAAAAAAAACTGAGTCGTTTCGGCTTAAAAAATCATATACACAGTTTTGGTGAACAGGAATAGAGTTTTGCTGGTCTCATCAATGGAGATATATATTAAGAAACTGCATTATGCAGGCATTAAGAAGTTGAATCGTTTGATCCAGAACAAACAATGTGATATGCTTATCAGGACATTATTTTGATTCATAATAATGCTCACTCTTAGTGTCTGCCACTGCATAATTTTTCACCACCTTCAGCTGAGAACAATTGGATCATTCCCGTACAATTTAGATTTTCCGCAGGTAGCTTTTATGTTTGTTGGATGCTGGCTTCAGTACTACAGTGAAGATTTGGAAGGTATGCAAATCATTGTACTGTTTTGATAAATTCTAGTGCTACATTATGATTAATGCCTGAACAGTAGTAGAAATTATATGGAGAAATAGTGTATAGTGTCTACTTTAATTAGCAAGAGTGTTTTTTTGGGGGGGCAAGGGTATTCTTGTTTTTCCTGGCAGCACATTAGCACTTAGTTTCAGAGTATCCTTAAAATATTCTTAGTTTCTTATAGTTGAAATTAGTAATTTATTTTAGAAAATGGCTCTGTATCTTCATTATTTATCTTACTTATCTATAATAATGTGACATGAATCTAAATAATAAGTTTCATACCACAAGTTACTTCATACAGTTCATTAAAAAAAATTGTGTAGAAAAGGATGTTAAATTAGAACAAGATATGTATAATTTTATTTTTTGATATTTTTGTAAAATTTGGTGTATAGTATTCTTAAAAGGGCTGTGTAACATAGGTTTTTGATTTTTGTATTAAATTAGTAAATACAAATTATGTGATTGTGTATTAAATTAGTAATTTTGAATCAATTTTGTCATGTAAATAAATGTACCTTTACAAATCAAATGATACATTAAATTAAATTTTTAAAATTTAATTGTGAAATGCAGGGCTTATATGTGTTCCTTTTTTTTTTCCAGCTAAATTGCGGCAACTTTTATCTCATAATATGCAACAACAGCAGCATCACCATCAGCAGCAGCTGCAACATGTGCAACAGTTTTTAGCTTCTTCCTCTCTTAGGAATAAAATATGGGATGAACATGTTGAAGAAAAAGTTCAACTTCCAAGTGTGCCTTCTCCTGCTCCATCTGTACCTGCTGCATCTTCTAACATACCACCTCCTGCACATCAGAATTCTTCTCCTCGACTGTCAACTACCTTAGGCTCTTTAGATCTTAGAGTCAAACCCAGTATTACTCCTCCAACACCTTTTACTCCTCTACCATTACCTCAGAAAAATAAAAGTACTCCTGTCGAATCTCCAGCAAGCACTGCTGGATCTCCAACATCACCAATTGACTTGAGTGCATCTTCATCAGGCACAAACACCTCTAATCAAACAAATATTTCTCATAATAATTCTAATCAAACAAATACATCCAAACCTTCAGGTCAACCAAAGACCAAAGAAAAAAGAGGAGCTCGTGGTGGTAGTCGTATTGATGCCTTAGCCTTGAATTTGCAGGCTAGAAAGCAGCAGCAGTTGATGCAAGAGCAACATCATCCTCTAGCTGATATTGGATCATTGCTTGAAAGAACAACTGAAAAAAGTAAAGAGCATAGTGAAACTGAAGAACCACCTTCTCATTCTCGTCACCATTCTCATCACCATCATTTAGATAGGCGGAATATTGAAGATGAAGAAGCAAAATTAAGGAAGAAAAGGGTTAGTATTCCCCCCCTTACTTTTGTTTTAATACTCATGCCTCCTATAAGTGAAGAGTATAGTAAGTTTATATAATTCTTGAACATTTTAAAAACTTGTTCTGTGGGTATTATTAATTATATCATAAATGTTTAATTTTATTTGATGAAATAATGGATTAGCTTAAATATTTTCTTGATATTGCATGTATAAAAACAACCAAAATAATATTAATTTGGTCATGATAAAAACTGACTTATAACAAGTAATGAAATGGTAAATTAATTGGCTAAAAATTTCAATAATTATAAATATTGAAGAGTCGTTTCATTATTTTTGTATTATATCAACTTGGTTCTTGTAAGGAATAATAATTTTAACAGTAGAATATTTCAATCTGAAGAAAATTACATTTAAGTGCATTCTTTTACCTATGAGAAAACATTAAGATTAGAAAATTGACAATGAGGCTAATATTTACTGTTTGCAGTATTTTATTTTGATTACATGAAGTAAATAAATGTAAAAAAAAGATGTTTAGTATTTGTTGAAGAAAAAAGTCTTTGGGAAGGGGTTGGAGTGAGTGAGTGAAAATTTATTTTTAAACTAGTTTCTCTTCTATTCAGTCCAAATACCTAGCCGCCTTTCTAATTGCTGTCCGAGTTGTAATTCTTTGCTCATCGTCCTTTGTTTTTTGAATTAACAAAGTTCGGTAGTTTGTCTTCTAAACTTTGAGAATATCTGGGATGATATTATTTTACATCTGTTTTTCTGTACATAAACTCCTTGTTCTATTCCTCTAATATTCTCTTCAGCAGCTGAATTATTTTCTTTAGTGTCTCTAATGTCTTTTCTATTTCATCTAAATATGGCTTCTCCTGATCTCAGTATATATGATCCAGGCAGCTTATATACTTCTTCTACAACTGGTGATTATCTTGATATACCCTAAAACAATCTCATTTGCTTAATGATGGTAATGATGATCATAATATGACTTCTGCTGAGTTCTTTCTTGGTTGATTTTTTCTTTTATGTTTTTCACAGCATGGAAGCTTTAATAATTCTTTGGATGTAGGAAGAATTGTTTTTGATCTTCTAGTCGTTGAACTGGTGATCCTAACATCTGATTAGTATGACTGTTCCTATGAGCTAACAATTCTAAATAAGCATGATCTGCTTGAGCTTTTTTTAACAATTTCTTTGCTAATTCAAAAGTCAAACAACAAAAATCAGCGTTATATTTTCAAAATTTTCACAGGTTTAGTTTCGATGGTTTTACCAAAACCACCATCCTCAGCTGCAAAACCGCAAAATGCGCAAAATTTTGCATTTTGCAGCTGAGGATGGTGGTTTGGTAAAACCATCGAAACTAAACCTGTGAAAATTTTGAAAATATAACGCTGATTTTTGTTGTTTGACTTCTGAATTAGTATTTATTCAGCGTGTTATTGTGTCTTAATTTCTTTGCTGTTTTTACTGAATGCTCTGCTAATCCATTTGACTGCTGGTGGTATGGACTGTTCGTTATATATGTAAATTGGTATTTCTTGGCAAATCCTGGAAAATATTTACTTGCAAATTGAGGCCTACTATCAGATATCACTATGAGTGGTATGCCATATCTTGCAAAATGAGATTTCATATAACTGATCACTGTCTGATTTCAAGTATCCAGTAATTTGAAGATTTAAAAAAAGTTGGAATAGTAATCTACAACTAATAAGTATGCATCTTTGTTAATCTCCAATAAATCTGTTCCAATTTTATACCAAGGTAAATTGAGAACTTCATGAGGTATCATAGGCTCCTTTATGTTCTGGTATTCATTGTATACTGGGCAATTTGAAATTTCATCTTCTACCTGCTCTTGTTCATAAGTGGCCACAAAACATCTCTAGCTCTTTTTTACGTATTTTTATCCCAAAATGACTCTCATGAATTAACATGTTGAGTGCTGTGGGGGTCACCGGTGACCGGCATTCGACCTGGGTACAGCGCCGCGGGTGCCACCGTTGACTGCTAACGCGACCAGTAATAAAATACATAATTAGAGTAAATATTGATACTGATAAATTTTTAAATAGTACCAGTGTTACTATAATGGTTTGAAGAATAATAAATCGTAAAAATTTAAATTATAAATCGCAAAAATGGTCTGCAGTGCCTTGTTGGGTCACCGATGACCCCCCCCCACCACGAAAGATGCATTAAGCACGATTATATAAATCGCATTATCTTCTGTAGGTAATATTTTTACATAATATACATCGCATAATAAAAATTTCAAGTTGGCGTCATGGGCAAACCGCGTAAAATGCGCATGGCAGTCAACTTGTTAAATTTAGCATCTCTTTTTGCATAGATAAAAAAATAATTACCCTTCCTCTTTTGAAAAATAAGTCATTTTCCATTGTCAACTCATCTCTGTAGTCCCAAAATACTTTGACTGGTCAGCCTCTCAGAATATATTCCTTTAAACACTGTAGTGTAGCATCACATTCACTTTCAGTTGCTGGAATGAACATACCAATTTCTGTATCTTGATTGTCATCTTCTTCTGTTGTATTCAGATATGCTCTACTGAAAGTGTCTGATATTAGCAAGTCTTTCCCCTTTTTGTATTGTATTTCTAGATCATGTTTTTGTAAATTTAACAGCATTGTTTGCAGTAGCTCAGGTGCTCTAAAAAGAGATTTCTTAGTTATGCTTTTTAAAGGTCGATAGTCAGTTTCAACTGTAATGTTTGCCATATATATACTGATGAAATTTAGAACATCCAAAAGTAATACCTAAAAGTTCTTTTTCTATCTGAGCATAATTTTTCTGAATTTTCATTAGAGCTCTGGAAGCATAAGTAGTTGGTTGACTTTCTTGTAATAAAACAGCATCTATTCATTCAAAACTTGCATCTACTGAAAAAGTTATATCCCTATTAACATCATACAGTTTTAATACATGCATTTTTACAACCAATTCTCTAAACTTTCCATTTTGAAGTTCTAAAATTTTGAGGTTTGAAACTTTCCATTTTTAAAGCAGACGACTCCTGACACCATATAAAATAAAGAGGGTTTTAAACTATTTATTTATAATCATGTAATATTATATATTACAGAGAACTGTAATACCAGCAAAGTTCTGTTTTTATGTATGTCTAAAAGTGTTGTCATTCACGAGTTACTAAATACTAAATGTTACCATTTACAATTTATTAAATATTGCAGCAGTTGATGGCCGATTCAATATTCCTTTATTTCCATTGTCAGATATTATTAGCAAACACAGATAAACTGGCACAGTAAACACCCTTGTTCTTAAAAAACTACATCAGTATTTTTAGGTATGTGACGGGAAATGGAGCAGTACGCAGCATTATTCTGCAGTATCCCATAATAATAATAATAATAATAATAATAATGAACTACAGTTATTCTTAAAAATTATAGTTTTCAACTTTTCTTTGTATAAGAAAAGGGTAAAAGGAACAAGTTTTGAAAGGTTATAAAATACTCCTGATCCTAAACCAGTAGGCAATATAAATTCTGATTCTGAACCAGTAGTAGGTATTGTGTTGAGGGTTCCTCACACACATAAATCCTGTATCGAAATGATTTGGATGTTTAAGGCATGTTAGATGCATAAAGAAGTAATTACAAGTCATGACCAATATAATGTTTTTTTTTTTTTTTTGTTACTTTACTTTTGCTGGCAGACATTTTTCAAACAAACACAGATAAATTAGCACAGTTGACACTCTTGTTCCTGAAGAACTCAGTGTTATATTTTAGATTTCCCAAATGCGTCTGAAGAAAGAGCAACAGGCAGCAGCATGTAGCAGTAGAAAAGTGAAAAAGAGTCTGCAACATGTGGAAATGAAAGTTTGCTGCAGAAAGATTTTATTTAAGTTTAGCTTTATGCTTGTTGTTTAAGTTACTAATTTCAAATTATTATTGGCTGAATCATTATGTAAATTCCATTATATGTATTATTACCATTATACAAGAATATGGCATGAATTAATTTTGAAATCAGTTTAGAGCAATTTATTACAGTCAAAAGTCTTTAATCCGGACTCATCGGGACTTCGGCGATTCCAGATTATAAGATCATCAGTTTAACCCCTTCGCGCCGACTGTCACGTATACGGCCAGCAACGAACACACTTATCTACCGGCTGACACGCAGGCGTGCCAGAGCATTGTTGTGTTTTCTACCGACTGTCACGTATTTGTGCCAGTACTTTGGAATGTTTTTCAAACTATAATTTCTGCCACAAGATGGCACTGTATGTCCATATGGTTTCAGATACATGTACATTAGACCTTCTACTCGAAATGAGAGAAGCATGACTCACATACACGTGTTTTTGATTATATAAACAAACGGGGAACTAAATGTTTCCGAATGGCGTGATTTATGACGTCTCTTTAAATCCCACTTTATTCGCACGTGGTAGTTGTTTATTGTAAGTAGAAGTTTTATATGCGCTAAAGCGTTGAGTATTTTCGTTTACAGTTCAGTTTTTAGAAAATAATTAGATCTTGTTAGACGTGAATTCTTTCTGTTTTTACCGTTTCAATGTCGAAGCATCGAAAATGTTTAACAGAGCATGAAATAGCAGAAATGATGCAAAATATTTCAGATATTGATTCTGAAATTCTGATATTCTGATATTGATTCTGAAAGATTAACTGAAAGACATTTTCCAAAACTTTGTTCAGAAGAGACTGATAAGAAAATGAGACGACGATGCTTTGTTTGTTCACATTCCTGGGAAAATCCTCAAAAACGGCAAATGAGTTATTACGAGTTCAAGGAATGTAACGTAGGACTGTGTGTAGATCCCTGTTTTAAAATTTTTCATACGAAAAGAGAATTTTAAGTAATATATTTAGTTTTCAGATGGATAATGTTAAAAGTCATAAAATGGTGAGTAATTAAAATAAAATGTGTAAAATATGCATTTAAACAAGAAATAAGGTAATTAAAGTATATATATAAAAATATCTATAAAGCAT